ATTTGAATGCTACAAATTATGAATTAGAATGCTAAAAGTACATCGTGGCGTTGTCAGAAAATCGTGTTGCGCCAAATCGAACGACCAAATAGCGAAAGAAGCACATTGTTCATTAATTTGAATGAAACATACGTAGATTCTAACGAAAATTCCATAGATTTGAAAACTAGAAAAGGGAATATAAACCCGAGATATACCTGACTGCACTAAAACCGTCGAATTTGAACGCAAGACAAATTAATTTGAATGACAAACTCGCGAATTTGGCCCGCGGGAAATCCTATATTATCATATTTTTCTGACTGACTCCCCCCCCCCCCCCAGCTCAGATTTTTTCTTTCCATTTTGTTGTTTTGTTTGTTTATATCTTTGGGCTAAGGTCCCCGCCCGCTTCCTTTTTGGGGTCGCCTCCTATTTTTTTTTTTTTCAAGAAAAAAAACATAAAAAACACTGCTAAAATGGATCTATATCTCAGTGATTTAAAAAAATAAAATAAAAAATGTCGTTGGCGATCTTGAAAAATAGCCCGACTGTCAGGGAAAATGTACCGAGCGGCCATTTTAAGCGGCCATTTTGAAGGAAAAAATAAATAAAAAGGGGCCTCCTCCGTCCTATTTTTTGGAAAAACAGGACGCTAAACGTGTTTTGTTTTTTATTTGGCCTAACAGAAAAGACCCTGATGGCAAATCATGCATTTATTTTTTTTTCTTCAAACTGTAAACGTGTGTTGCATTTCTTCTCCCTAACATTCCTAATTTGAATAAACATAATTCGAATACGAATGACAGGTGCTAATTTGAATGATAAAAATGACGTCTCGACAAGTGACGATTAATTTGAATGCTAGTTGAGCAGTTTCTAAATTGAATGACAGATCTATCAAACCCTTCGACCAAAATTCTAAATTGAATACCAAAACGGGAAAATTGAATGATAATTGGCATGGCAAAGCCGATCTGAGCTAACTTAAATGCAAAGTAAATGAATTCAAATGACAAACTAGCGAATTTCGCCGGAAAATCCTATAATAATTAATCTCAAGGAAGAGATGCTGCCGGTGTACAAGCAAATGGCGGAATAGAAAACATTATCAAAAAAGGTGAAGATGGAAAACGACATTGCCAGATAGACAGAGTGACAGAGATAGAGAGAGAGAGAGAGAGAGTGAAAGAGAGAGAGAAAGAGAGAAAGAGGGAGAGAGAGAGAGAGAGAGAGAGAGTGATTGGGGGGGGGGGGGGGGGGAGAGATAGAAAGTTGGACGTAGTCCGTCCTATATTTATTTATATATTTGTCTCTCCGATCACCCCCCCCCCCCCAGCTCTGATTCCCCCCTTTAGTCTGTCCTTTTTTTAAATAGATATCTTTTCGCTGAATTATAATGTCCGACATATAATAGCATTGTCAATATAGCATAATAAACATTTTTTATATCAATTTGATGCAACAGAGATTTTCATTAAAAAGTTTTACTTTGTAAATATAATGATTGTACAGTATAAATATTCTTCGCATTTCGACATTGTCAGCCGCTCGTTTTCTATTTCGCTCCCTATAATAAATATAAGGTTTCATAAATTGTGTACATCATCATTATGTTATGATAATTTATCTCAAAGAAGGAATGGTGCCGGCAAACAAGCAAATGGTGGAACAACATTGGAAGATAGACAGAGAGACAGACATACAGAGAAAGCAACCGAGCGAGAGGTAGAGGGAGAGGAGAGAGAGAGACACACACACACATAAATAGAGAGAAAAATCATTTCTTATAATTATATCTATTTGTCTGTGAAATTCTATCTTATTACATATTCTTGTCCATTCCTTTATCGTGCATGATTGTTGTCTTTGAATGATTGTTTCAGATATTTATGAGTATGTCGGAACGTGATCCCATTAACAAATTTAAAAAACAGCAACGACAACTGCAAAAACAACAAGATCCCCTACCCCCCCCCCCCCCCTCAAAAAGAAAACAGGGTCATACATGTAGTACATACAAGGATCAGTTCATTGTCATTCAATTATACCCTTACCTTACTTCCGCTCTTCTATTGTAGGAGTTGATAACGACCATGACAACGACCTACCTCCACAACTTTAATTGTTCCTCTTACGTAACTAAGCTGTGGGATCATGGGCCGAAGACAAAGACATAGCTCTTTTCGCATATTCTATATAGGTCCCAAATACTTGCAGACATTTCTGTGTCGGTTTTATTTGTATGTACTTTGTCAATACATATACTTAAAAACTATAATTGTCAAAACTTGGCAATATATTCAAATAGCACCTTTACATAAGCATGCTCAAAACGCTTTTTACATTAGTAAATTTAAAAAAACTAATTATTTTGCTCTCCAAGCAATACCTACAAACTATTTCGTTTTCCCTATATCATCTTTTTAGAGAGCGAAATAGAGAGAAAGACAGAGAAAGACAGAGAAAGACAGACAGATAGACATATATATATATATATAGAGAGAGAGAGAGAGAGAGAGAGAGAAAGTTGGGTGCATCGTATAGTCTGTACAGTATTATGCTATTTTGTCTCTCCTTTCACCCCCCCCCCCCCCCCGTTCTGGATTCTTCTTTAGTTTCATGTCCGACATATATTATAACCGTCAATTTAGGCTGATAAACTATTTCATATTAATTTGATGCAACAGAGATTTACATACAAATCTTTTACATTTTATATATTGTGTATTTTCCCCATAAAATTGAGTATCTAAATAAAAAGAGATGAAGAAGAAGAAGAGGGAGAAGACGAAGAAGAACAGCAAGAAGAAGAACAAGAAGAAGAAGAAAAAGAAGGGGAAATAAGAGTGAGAAGAAGAAAGAAAAGATGCGGAGGAGAAAGAAGAACAAAACAAGAGAGAGACAGAGAGAGAAAGACAGACAGACAGACAGACAGAGAGAGAGGGAGGGAAAGTTGGGCGCATCGGTATATAGTCTGTACTGTATTTATTTATTATTATGCTATGTTGTCTCTCCTTTCACGGTGAGTTTGATAGAGAGGGGAGAGGGGAAGGGAAGGGGGGGGGTCTAGGAACAAAAGGGAAGCGTCAACCCGTGTATTGTTTGTGACATCTGATCAATAAACTACTGTTTAATGCGCGGAGTTGGGCAAAGTTGAATGTCCAAGATAAAGTCATTAGGAGCCAGAGCAAATAACACTGAGTTCCTATAGGAAATATATTTATTCAGATGGTCATATCTTAGCCAATACTTCACATATTCAATTGTTATCAATATTAGGACATTATTTTTGATGCTCCTTCGAAAAATAAAAAAAAAATTGAGAAATTCAAAACATAGATTATTAACGACGTCACACTTCACCACTTATTTTTAATTTGTTTATTACCCGTGTTACTGTGTTAGATTCTTTTCATTTCATATACCTGGGGACAAACCTTTGATAGACTTTTGGTCTTTTTTTGTTCCTCACATTTTTATATAACTTCAAGTTGATTGTGTTATTGAATTCTCTCCCACGATTTTTTTTCTATTGTTTTGTCTTAATTCATCTCCTCAGTACCTCTCTTTTTCCTTCCTCTCGATCACTCCTATTGTTTCATTTCATATTGTTTATTTCTGAACTCTAAATGTAATATCCATTTTCTTCGTTGATAAAATGTTACGTTAAAACGATTGTCTAGTCTGGGTCGTTGGTAAGATTTTTTTTAGGCATGATTGTGCAATCAAAGAAAATAATACTAAGCTGGTAGAATTGTTGTATATACTTTAATGTTTATGTTATTTTTCACTCGTTTCACTCAATCATTGAGTTAATAATGTAAATATGTATTGAAATGATGGAAATAAAAACCTCGCTTGAGGATAAAAGAAAAAATGAAGGCTGCTGCTGTTGTTGTTGTTACTTTTTTTTACGGCGCTTTCATTTTGCGCCATTCATTTATAACTATTAAACAATCTTTTCATGATTAGTCAAGCGTATTGCCCATAAGTTTATAAATGTTCCAGAAGTCAAATATTGTTTAAGATAACCCAACACAGATTAATGAAGTTTGGAAACGAAAACGAGACAAATGAAGCTACAACAAAGCGAAACATATTAAAGGAAGAAAAAGCATTAATGTATGACTTGTATAAATGTGTGATAAATAATTTTTCTTAATAAGTTATCCCTTTGAGGAAACGAATCTGAATTCTGACCATAAATAGCAGGGACCGCGGAGCGTTTTTGAGAGTAGGGGGGGGGGGGGAGGTCTGAGCATGCGAACAATCTATAAACCCCTTTTTCGGAGCTTTTATGAAACGTGTCTACTAAAAAAAAAAAACTCAGCCACCCGCCTCCGCGGCCCCTGCATAGTTTGAGAGTTACATGGCCTATAGAGGGCGGTCGACTGGTATGAGTTGGAAGCAATATGAGAACGTCGCACACTGTTCTAAAGTCGTTGGACCGTACGCCCTTTTGTGCGGAATTTCGCATGGCGTCTTCTCAATAGAGAGTTTCGGACAGTTGTGGCTTTCACGCAAACTAGGCCGCGTTGCATAAAGCCGCGTGATTACTGCCACTCGAATTGATCCAAGGCGCCTTATCGAGATGAGATGTTACAAAAGCATGAATCAATTGTTGAGTTGTTTGGGGGGGGGGGGGGGTTAAAAATTCCTTATAGCGCGAAGATTACGAAGATGATAATTGGCAGCTTTCACACATTTTGAAATATTTTAGGCCCATCAGGATCGATTGATTATTTCCGCATAGTTTCTGCAATGACCACTAATTTCAAATTTCAAAAAACCATTCTGTCACTTTTGGCAAATCATACTTCTCATGAAATAACCTCAAAACTCCATAAACTTGTTCATAACGCGTGGCAACTTAGTAAACACTTCGTAAATATTTTCCTCGAGATGGAGATATCTTGGAGTTATTGTAACTCATTATCTGCTTGAATTCTCTTATTCCCGTAATTTCAGGAATTATTAAGTTTTATGTTGGAGGGAACAAAAAGGAAATTTTGTTTTACCTGACATGATGTATTGCAGTATCTCACATAATTGCAACTGGAACACTTCTTTAGAGTTGAACTGAAACCAAGATGAAAATTAGAGTCGACTCGATTCTTGATATTTTTTCAAAACAGTGTCAAACCTACATGAATGTCATTAAAATGTTACATAATGCAGCACCATGTAGCTGTACTAGATCCAAACAAATACCGTAAATGAAAAAACAAGAGTTACACACATTTAACAATTCAACTTGACCTCTTTTGAGTTTTTTTAAATTGATGAATCAATGCTTACTTTTATTTCAAAATTTAGCATAATAGTGATTAATTTAATCATTATTAGACTTCTACTATATTGTTATCATGATCATAATTAGATCTACGATTTTTAATTCAATCATAGACATAGCATTTAATAAATATTACTTATTCTTATTCTCATTTTGTCATTCAAGTGAAATGATTGATATTATACACTCAGTGGAATTAACCTAATTTGCCAAGAAAAAATATACATAAAAAGAAACGGGGCGTTGTGGCGTGCGCCTGTAATCCAGCTTATAATGGGAGTTACAAACTGATTCAGCCGAGGATGCAGGTTCGAAACTGAGTCACGTATTTCGGATGGTGACGTTAAAAGTCGGTCCCCAGACGTAAATAATCATATCTAATTGATACACGTCTGTAAACAAATCAATTACACACACGAAAGCACATGGATTTCAATATAATATAAGACCCCTAAATATCATTAAGCCATAAAGACCCTATATCACTTTTTATTACACATTTTAACAAAAAAAAGAAAATAAATACCTTTTCTTGAGGCAAAAGTCACAGTAGAGTCCCCGTGTGTTGTCGCACAAAGTATATACATATGGCAATTCTTCAAGGATACATTGTCCAGGCGCAAATCTTGAGGTGGCGACCAACTTCCGCCCACAAGTAGCTGATTTTACAACACGCACAGATTGCATAGGAATAGACGCCGCCATTATAAGTGTAATCATACGAAATTGCTCCTCTCAGCTCAAACAGCCACGGGCGACAATCCTGCTGAATAAGAGGTGTATGGTAATGTCTCATTCAGCTATGCAGTTGTATATGAGTATGCTTTTTGTATCGAGTGGGAATTCCCACCGACGTTCATAACAAAAGGGAAGTACCATTTTGTTTTAACCTAACAGTTCACCCACGCACAGCAATCCGTCTCGTTATAACAGGTTACATGAGTAACTCATAGATATTTCTTGTGTAACATAAAACTGATGCTTTCTGTTGCTTGTACTTGTAAGTGAAGACCAACTTCCGCCTACAAGTAGCTGAGCGGGGTAAGAGGTCACTTTTTTTTTTTTTTTGGTCCCGAAAAAATCGCAACGACTCAGCCGACCGCTGAAGAAGCGGGGGTAGGGGGGGGGGGACATTTTGCTCCATTGGGGGGGGGGGGGGGGGGGGGGGTAAGGTCATCTTTTTGAGGTCAGCCATGGGAATATCCAAAAGGGGGGGGGGGGGGGGGGGGTTTAGGGAAATTTAGGGGGGGGGGGTTTACACACAAAAAAATACCAAAGGGGGGGTTAAGCCCCCCCCCCCCCCCCTGTGTACGCGCCTGTATACACTGTGCGCTGATAAAACAGGACTCTTCTGTAATTTCTGCCTCAAGGAAAGGTATTGATTATTAAATTTTGTTAAAATGTTTTAGGGGTCCTACATATTGAAACCCATGTGCTTTTTTTCTATATTTGTTTTCTTTCACTAAGAGTAGAAAATCATTCATTTCAATTGAATGATATTAATTAATCAATCATAATTATAATAATAATAGTTTGCGAACATATTCGCAAAGTCTTTTTTCTATGAAGGTTCGAACTCTAAGCTGGCGCTTATTGCATTGAAAATTGAAAAGCTGCAGTTTTCATATTTCATGTTTGCTTTCACAATATTCAGACATGACACGAATTAGCACTGCGTAAAGATTTTGATACCGGTATGCATCTTGCGTACATGCCGCAAAAGTCCCTAGCTATGAGCACACATAAAAACAATTATGTGTAATACAGATTTGTGATTACATTCACTAACGATGTCATTTTACTTTGCGACAGCATATTGTTGTTTTTCGTTACGTTTTTTTGTTTCATTATGTCATATCTGAATGAAGTGTTTACTTGACATACATGCACTCATATCATTTATGTCACCTGTGCTAACCTTGTCCTCGTCGTTGGGCACGTGTTCTTCTACAGGAAACCTGTGATGGGGTAGCGGAATTGTCAAAAAATTCGGCCGTTCCCTCTATAAATTAATCATGTACACCAGGTCCTCGTACTCGTATTATAAAGTGTTGTGATTGATTTAAATCGATCGCAACTTGGAATTAATTGCAACTGTGTATGACATAGGAATTGTGATTAATATCAAGTTGGGATTGATTCAGATTAATCGCAACAATTTTAAAGATGGGGCCCAGGTGCCTGGAAATTGAGCATTGTGCGCTGAGTAGAATAAAGCATTATGTCACATGACCTTATGGTATACGATACCAAAACGTTTCTACAGAGCTTAGCCACCAAGCCTACACAAGAACTCCACCTCTGAAAACGTGTACAACATTTTCTGGTACCGTAAACAGTATAATCAGTTTATGATGTGTACCTGGAAATAATCAGTTAGACTTTGAGTCAGTAAAATCAACAGGAAAAAACCCACGTCATCCTCACCAAGACGAATACACACCTGTTCAAATTTCAAACGACAACCCATCTCCCAAAAATCATGTCAAGCCCCAAGTTTTTGACATGGCCGAGCAGCTCAAGTAACATACAGAAACAGCATGGGAGTCATCATCAGAGCTACTGCAGCTGCACACCTTTACGACCTCCACCCATCACCACGGGGTGTTTCACTAAGCCCTAAAATCAACCTTAAAATTGATCCGAACGATGTTAAGGGCCTAAATTTGATATCGACTTAAGCTGTTTCATAAAATAAATGAAATCGATTTCAGCTTTAAAATCGTTTTCTTTTTCTTTTTTTTCTTATTTTTGTTAGAGTGTGATCCATATCAGTTTACGATTAATTTGATTCTTATTCATTACATTATTGATATGCTATGTTCAGCATTCATTGGTTGTACAGGCTTAAGTGTCGGCTAACTTCAATTTGATCATGAATTTTTTTTTTTTTTTTTTTTTTTTTTTGGGGGGGGGGGGATCAAGTCTTTGTTGATACCAAGTTTTTTTTCTTCAAATCATCAAATTTAATACCAGGCATGATCAATACCAAAGGCGGCACTCCGGGTTCTAGTTTCCGGGGGGGGGAGGGGGTGGGGTGGCAACTGGCCCATTTTTTTCCATCTACTTAATTGTTGGGCTTGTTTTCTCCTTACACATTCCCTTTAACATCTGATTATAAATATCCCTTTCATTGGTTGTACAGGCTTAAGTGTCGGCTAACTTCAATTTGATCATAATTTTTTTTTTTTTTTTTTTTTTTTTTTGGGGGGGGGGGGGTCAAGTCCTTGTTGATACCAAGTTTTTTTCTTTAACTGGCCTATTTTTTTCCATGTACTTAAATGTTGGGCTTGTTTTCTCCTTACACGTTCCCTTTTACATCTGATTATAAATATCCCTTTATATTTATTACAAGTGCACTTTTCCTTCATGCAATTTTCCTGTTTCACTTTGTTTTAAAGTTTCTCTGTTACTGTTTTCTTCTTACTCTTAGAAGTTATTCCATTCATATACTTTTCTCATTAACATACACCGACACTCCCATCCCAACACTTTGCTTTCCTCCTCTTTCAAAGTAATTGTTTTGTTCTTACATGACCCCCCCCCCCCCCCCACTCCCCCTCAAAACAATTCTCTGTACAGCAATGCATTATGGCTCAAGGCATGGGCACACAGAAGATTTTTTTTCTGTTGGGGATCGGGGGGGGGGGAATTCAATGAATTATTGATAATTTATTGCATTTCTTTGTGTCTTTTTATTTGTGGGAACTGCCCCCTACCCTAGCCCCCGCTGCCTTACAGTCATGGTTCAGTGGCAAAGCAATGGCCTCGTAACTGTGAGGCCCCATGATCAAAACCGTGTCGATATACTATATTAGTGCCCTTTTGTGGGGCATTAATCCTAATTACTGTCATTTATGACTTAAGGACGTAGGTCCCCTAGTTGATAAGCATAGTAGCATACACATGCTTTAGCAGTCACGCAAAACAAACACTCGAAAATTATTATTCAATAAAATCTGAGAATGAATACTATTATCTAGATTTATTAGGAATACATCATTGTCAAAATAATTCCATAAATTGGGGTAAAAAAGATATTCCAACTTTATGAGCAACAGTGTATATATATATATATATATGTTATGAAGAGCGCAAATTTCTTTCTCAGAAAAATGATTGTCACTGTATCTAATGTGTTCAACAAAACAGTACATATTCATCAGTGATTATAATTGTGATTTAAATGTATTTGGTCCCGCGCATTGTTACCGACCACATTGAAGGTTTTTAGACATTTGCAAGATTGACTATGGAGTTTAATCTTGATCTTGGATATCCTGCTCTTGAGCCAAACACGGTCATATTGCTCCGGTTGTCTCATTTTCGCTCGCTGAACCATTGCCAGCACAAACGTAGCTAGTTCAACGGCACTACCAAACTAGAATGTTCCACTATGTTGCAGGGTGTATATGCCATTGGGTAAACCGGATGTGCGGAAATGGTGTGTTGGGGAGGGGAAGTGAGAGTGTCCGTGTGTGTGTGTGGTAATTGTATGCGTGTCAACAATTAAAGACTAATAATGACAGATGGCTAATCATAAATCTACAATGACGAGTAACTGTCTACATCACAGTCCACATATAAATGTGACTTGAACGTATATAGCAGACGGCAATCGGCGGATCAGACGACACTTGACAGTGATTTTGTATGTGAGATTGCTTTGCTAAATATAAAATACAAGAACCTTTTCCATATCTTTAAACTATCATTGATATCTGATAATTGAACAGTTAGTAAAATAAACCTACCGAACTACATCATACAATGAAATACTTGACATAAAGTAGGGGAGTTTGATGTGGTGCACAATTGAACCCCTCTGTAAATAATCGAATAGTCCATGGCGTTCATGAATATTCATATTTTTGGATGCCTCGGCAAAATGCTTGCCTATACTAAATGGAAAAAATACGGTGGGGATTGGCTGAAATGGACATAATGAACCAGTCAGAACTGATCTATGATAATTCATGCTTGTTATCAGGAGCGTACGCAGGGGGTGGGGGGTTGGGTTAACCCCCCCCCCCCCCGTTTTTTTTTTTTATATGTATGTTTTGGGTATGTTTTTGAGGTTTTTTAAGGTTTTTTTTTTTTTTTAATAAAAAATATAAAAAAATATGCCAATGGCTGATTTTTAAATGATGATCTTACCCCCCCCCCCCCCCAATCAATTTTTTTCAAATTTCGAGACCAACAAAAACAAAAAAAAAGTGTCGTCTTAACTCCCCCCCCCCCCTCCCCCCCCCCCCCCCGCTTATTCAGCGGTTGGCTGAGTCGTTGCGATTTTTTTTGGGCCCGATTTGAAACCCCCTCCCCCCCCCCCCCCCACCCCTTGAAAAAAATCCTGCGTACGCCACTGCTTGTTATCCTTTGTGTGCTTGACTTATAACCTTACAATCGAGTGACAAATTGCGTCCAAAGTTCGACGTGTTGCACACGTGTTATATAGGCAATGGCGAGCTGGCGACCTATTTTGACCAAATTACGGTGGGTAACTTTCACAAGTCAATGGGACATGAGGGTTCCAATGAAAGAGCTGGTGTCAACGTACGTCGGGGTGGATGTTTTCGTTTTGGAAATTATATATCACAACTACATATTCTGAGATGTTCATGGTCGCAACTAACATTGCACGGCCATAGGCGCTATTTGAAATTTATCAAAATTTACCGTGTGCACCGGTAAATTTTTATAGTCAATTTTTTTCGAAAACAGAAGTGTTTTAGAAACTAATTTTTTATGGCTTATAATACATCCACAGGGGCATCCAAATATATCGAATTTGTACAGATTCACTATCCACCCAATTTTCAAAATTTCCCAAAACTTTGTATTACCTTTAATCTTGTCTCATATACGGTTGTTTCATTTACTTCGTTTTCTGTTTATATATGTATGTATTAAGAAAATGAGATAGCAAAATGGGTATATTGATGGTCATCTTGCGAGTAATAACCATTAACTACTCTCATCGGGCTCTCATCATTAATTTTTCTCTTCATTTTTGTTTTGTGTGATGGTGGTATATCACCCAGCCCCCCCCCCCCCCCCGGGGATCGACACACATGCCCTTGGCAGAGCAGTTGTCTTAAAAATCTAATCCATAAAAATAAATGTTTAAAAATTAAGCAATACATAGACGTATGAACCTAATGTATAATGACCTTTACATATATTGAACGTATCGCCCCGGTCATCGGATTCATGCAGGTTTACTCGCACACAATGTAAGCACACTGTCAACTCCCTGTGGAGCAATCCGCAGCCAGGCGTTATTTTACAAGCGCTCATCCAACCATATCAACTTTCGCATCCCCATTTAAACACCTTGGTGGAATGTGGCAATAAAGTACAAGTCCACTCCAAAAAATTACTCCCTTTCAATAGAAGCAGTAAAATCAGACAAACCAATCAAAAAAGGTTTGAGCAAAATCGATAATTGATAAGAAAGTTATGATTTTTTGTTAAAGTAAGTAAAACTATAGAACAATGGAAATCACTACACTCGTGTTTCAATGTGATATGTAAAAAAAAAAAGGAGTTATGTGAAGTTTCTGCATCCCGGGGGGGGGGGGGAGCGTTTCACAAATCTTGTCATCAGTAAAGACAGTTGTTGTTATGAGCTACTGAAATCCTTGGTTTTGATTGGTTATCAGCAGATTTGTCACTGATGTGTCATTTTTCATTGAAAAAAGGCTTTGTGAAACGGGTCCCTGATCTACCGAGTTTATAGCAGCCGCTCTCTTCTAAACATGTGCGGGTGATTGATGATGAAGTATCCAGGTGAATCATTCCAAACCTGCAGCAATTGAAAAATTAGAAAAATAAGCGATGTCCAGCAACATACAGTAATGCCTCTAATAGAACTTGTGAGAATTTCTCTGTAGTTTTAGATCACACTCGAAATACTGAAAATGGAAGGACAGAGTGAATTGAGAATAAGATGGAGCGCAAACAAGACGAGAAGTAGCAGGATTGAGATGCTAGCTATACAGACATTCAGCCGTTTTTTGCATCTAGAAAATGTAATAAAAGCTCTCATCTTTAGATATTTACAAAGTAAAGGCTTCTTCTACCACTCAAAAGGGGCATCACTAGGTGCTTTTGAATATGGGGGAGGCAGTGTCAGACCACATTTGCCTGAAGTTCGAAGTTGGAGAGATAATGGGTTCTACGAAAGTAGGTCTTCAAAAGAAAGTAAAATAAATGTTCATATTCATTTTACAGGTTTATTTAAATTAATGAGGGTTGTGACTCGAGTTGGAAACTTATTGGAAACAGGAAATAAATAAGCACTTAATGTCTTTTAAAGAGCATCATAGAGACATTTTTGTATTCTTGTATAAGATAAGATATGTACAAAGTAAAGGGGATAGTTGAGTTCTTGTTTCAGACCGCAAATGCCTTCAAAGTGCATGGTTATTGCACTTATTCTTATTTATGACATTTCTAGTGCCCTTTTACGACCTAAAATTGCTAGGAAGGTAATTTTAGACCCCAAATTGTGTGAAATGTAGCCAATAAGATCATACCAATTCAGTTCTACTTTTAAAAAAATATGGTGACCGTTAATTGATTATTTAATTAATAATAACAATACATGGGCCGGCTGGTTGTGCGTATCATAACCAACACAAAAAAAGCCAACAATACGCAAACATTGGCATCGGCTGGAATACAACGTATAAGGAGCTATTTAATTTTTCAACAGCTGGTTCAAATTATCTAATACTTGTGGTGATACACAAATATTAGAAATGATTATATTTATGGATATTTCAGCCGTCTCTGAACCAATTTTGATCAAAAAAATATGATTTTGTCATTTAAATTGTATGTTCTTTCAAATTTGACACTCACTTTTTCATTATCGCACACAAAATTATTTTGTGTAGCCCCCTCTGCAACATAACTCAACTATCCCTTTAAGATATGTACAAAGTAAAGGCTTCTTGTACTACTCAAAAGGGGCATCACTAGACCATTTTGAATGGGGGGAGGGGGGGGGGAAGTGTCAGACCACATTTGCCCCAAATTCAAAGGGAAGGTAAATGTTTCCATCTACATGTAACTAACAGAAAGAAACCTCTGAGAGATTAAGGGTACTACGAAAGTAGGTCTTCTATTAAAGAAAGGAAAACAAATTTTTATATTCATTTTACAGGTTTATTTATGTTAATGAGGGCTGTCAATCGAGTTGGAGACTTATGGGAAACAAGAAATCAAAATTGTACAGCACTCAGTTGTGATACTCAGTGATCAAGTTAGCGCTAAATGTCTTTTGAAGAGCAGCATAAAGATATATTTGTATTCTTTTGCTTTAATAAAGAAACAGCTAACTTCAACTCTGAAGGTTTGTTTTTATTTTTATGGTACATTCATTCATATTATCCGGAAATGAGATACAAAGAATACTGGAAACAGTGAGACAAAAAACCCTTTTCTTGAAGCTGGCCATTCCCATCTTCTAATCACAGCTTGCAAGCAAGCATGATAAATGACCTAATGCATTTACTACAAGCATGTTTATGATTATTATTTTCCTTTTAAAAAGCTTGATTGAATACATCTTAAAATATCTTTGGTCTAATGCATCACCACTTTAATGAAGGAGTCTTAAAGTTTTTAAGAGAAAATCTTTCCATCCATATGTAATTTGTTATAATTATGAGTTGTTAGTGAATTTTCTTTGTGTAGCTCCTTTAACTTGTTATAACGAAAGGGATTGCTGGGATGTGCGTGGGTAACGGCTCGGTTAAGCGGAAGGATAGCAAGTGCAGAGGTTAACATAAAACATCCTGTTATGAATGTCAGTGGGAATTCCCACACGATAAAAAATAAGATTTAAAAAAAAATCATTTAACTGCATAGCTGAATGAAACATTATCTCGTTCGCTTCTCATTAAAAGCGATTGTGTCATTTTCATTGAAAAAAGGCATTGTGAAACGGGTCCTGATCTACCGAGTTTATAGCAGCCGCTCTCTTCTAAACATGTGCGGGTGATTGATGATGAAGTATCCAGGTGAATCATTCCAAACCTGCAGCAATTGAAAAATTAGAAAATGCAGGAAACAGTGAGACAAAAACTCTTTTCTTGAAGCTGGTCATTCCCATATTCTTATCACAACTTGCAAGCAAGCATAATATAAGACCTACTGCATTAACTAAAACCATGCTTTACGATTGTTATTTTTCTTTTAAAAAGCTTGATTTAATAGATCTCAAAATATCTTGGGTCTAATTAATGCATCACCACTTTGGTGAAGGAGTCTTAAAGTTCATCTGAATTCCAAAAAGGCACATTAAACTGCAGAGCAATAAGGCACTATTACTATTACTTATGGTATAAACTTATAAAGTATCCAAACCCAATTGTCTTTCTGCAAACCTAATAACATTCCAAAGATTAGGATAATACACCCCCCTCAACTTCTCAAGGACCTGAAGACAATTATGTTCCAGACAGGAATTAATGAAGTTGTTACGAGTATCAGATTGAAGAATCTCATCCATGCACTGGTGTGCTTTCAGATAGAGAGTTCAAGAGGATAAACTAGAATCATCATGTTCTCATATCAGCTCCATAACAATCACTCAATACACTCTTTACATAATGTAGACCCTAAAAATCGTAGTTTGTTGGACTTTAAGTTCTACCCACTAAATAGTAAATACATCTCAAAGAGTTATTTTTCTTTTAACAAAAATGAAAGTTATGATTTGTGCTGATAATATAAAAAGTATGTGTTTGTGGTTAACATGAACATATTGCATCATTCCCCAATTTTTAATGCGCTTGTGGAACAGATGCTAGAATGTGTGAACACATTGTAGGCAGGTCAACGTTATTTACAGGGCCCTTGGCGGAGCAGTTGTCTTAAAAATCGAATCCATACAAATAAATGTTTTAAAAGCAATACATAGACGTATGAACCTAATGAATGATGACCTTTACAAATATTGAACGTATCACCCCGGTCATCGGATTCATGCAGGCTTACTCGCACACAATGTAAGCACACTGTCAACTCCCTGTGGAGCAATCCGCAGCCAGGCGTTATTTTACAAGCGCTCATCCAACCATATCAACTTTCGCATCCCCATTTAAACACCTGGGTGGAATGTGGCAATTAAAGTACAAGTCCACTCCAAAAATAACCTACTTTTAATAGAAGCAGAAAAATCAGACAAACCAATCAAAAAAGGTTTGAGCAAAATCGATAATTAATAAGAAAGTTATGATTTTTTTTTAAAGTAATTAAGTAAAACTATAGAACAATGGAAATCACTACACAAATTGCCAATTTGGTTATCAGTTTGTGACGTCTTGTCCTCACTATTTCTCAACTGCATTATATAGTTTAATCCCATTAATTTATCTTTTTATCCCCCGAAACTTGATTTCCCCATGCCTTAATTTGCCCAGGTTATATGATCTGTTCCATACTGCGTGCATGACATCGCAAAAAATCTGTTATGAACTTTGAAGAATTTATATTTTTTTCTGAATATTGTATATTCACAATAAATATTATTGATTGTTATCTAAATAGTTAATCAAAAGTCACATTTTTCATGATTCAACTGAATTTGTTTTACTCTATATTTGTGCATCCACTCAAAAACATATTTCTATTAATCAAACTTGAATGCTGGTGTGAAGAAATAAGATTCTGAGGGGGAAAATAGGAAATTTATATTTTCAATATAAAGAAAACAATTAGTGGATAGTGAGGGCATGGCGTCCCAGACTCATGAGTGAATTTTAAATTTGTCTTGTGATTTTCACTGTTCCATAGCTTTACAGACTTTTTCAAAAAATCATAACTTTCTTATTAGATATTCGATTTTGCTCAAACTTTTTTTGATTGGTTTGTCCGATTATTCTGCTTCTATTAAAATTGAAAGTAAATTATTTTTGGAGTGGACTTGGCCTTTAATGATTGCCAATTAAAGAATATTAGTGCCATGGCGGGACTTGAACCACGTGCCTTGTAATCTGCAGTCGGGTGACTTATCCACTAGACCACAACACCACGATCTATTGCAGCGACCCTTCTCTGGTAGATGTATTATGAATAGGGACCCTTCTGAATAACGACCCCCCCCCCCCCAATATTGGGTGTCATGAGGGAGCTATATAAAGGGAGAGGAGAAACACGAATAAGAATTAGTGAGAGATCAGAATGGAAGAACAGAAATGGGGGAAAGGAAAAAAGGATGAGATGAATGTAGCAAGGTAAATGCTTAATACAGCATAATGATCTTCCTTACATTAATGTACTTCTGATATTTCACCAAGTTGAGTTCCAATGCATGTACATCATCCTACAATGAATAACATATATTAGGTACACACTATAGTGAGCCGAGTATTTGGCAAGTGAATTATACAGATATGATCGTACCAAACAGTACCAGTACCAGTGTTATGTTATCCAAGAAATGTTTATGAGTGGGAATTACCACCCCTAAGGGGGGAATCATACTCATTCACCTTGTTTTAACGAGAGGGACTGGTGAGATGTGCGTGGGTGAACGGTTCGGTTAGTCCAGGGACGTGATAGAGAAGGACAGGAATCAAGCCGCTCTCCTTTGACCCCATGCTCCAAGCCGCCGAAAATTTATGCGCTAATCTGCAACTGTTGACCAGGTGGTGAGATAAAAGAGCGCATGAAATGTCAGGATTTAGAATTCCTACATCAGAAAATGGTATCACTGCAACTGTTCGCTGTCCCTTCCAATGATTTCTCATCCATTGTTGAATGTGTAAAGAGTAGAACAAGCGAACACAAACTTGTGTACTTTCATCCTTTTTTAAACTTGAAAAATACAAAAAACACGCGAAAACACGCATTAGCAAACTTAATGTTATTGAAGATTGTAAATCATGGATCAAATAACGGGACATTAAAGCATGCACAAATTAGCGCATCATCCTAAAATATTGAGTTTTTGACAGGATGTAATTTTTCTTTTACCAACTCTGGCACACAAATTAAAGGAAGGACGGAGTTCTAAATTTGAAAATTTGTTTGATGCACTATTCCCAATAAAATCCCCATATAAAGTTTTTGATTAACACTGAAATTTTGCCGGTAATTTAATATTTTGTAATAAATGTAAAACTGGTGCCTGGCTTCCGAAATTCCCCGCAGTGGAAGCGCGGTTCGGAGCATGGAACTTCAAAGCCAAGTGGAATGTTACACATCCCATTGTTACGCTTTAGAACTCAAGAATGCGTTTGAATAAATTACAAGAGTTTCGCCTCCTTTTCTTTCACCTCCCTGGTTAGTCCTAAGCGGAAGGATCACAAGTGCACAGGTTAACATAATACTTCCTGTTATGAATGTCAGTGGGAATTCCCACACGATAAAAAATAAGATTTAAAAAAAATTCATTCAACTATATAGCTGAATGAAACATTATCGTTCGCCTCTCATTAAAAGCGATATAGCCCCGTGCCTGTTTGAGCTGAGAGGAGCAATTTCATAAGCTTACACTTGTGATAATGGCGGAGTCTGCTATACCTATGCAATCTGTGCGTGTAGTAAAATCAGCTACTTGTGGGCGAAGTTTGGTCTTCACTTCAAAATTTGCGCCTGGACAATGTATCCTTGAAGAATTGCCATGTGCATATACACTGCTCGACAACAAAAGGGGACTTTACTGTGACTTTTGCCTCAAACAATGGTATTAATTTTAAATTTGTGTTTAAATGTGATAGTAAGTTGTGCTTTAACTAAAAAAAATTCTTGGCCAATCACGTCACTTCCACTGAGCGAAGAATATCATTCATTTCACTTGAATGATAATATGATGATGAGGATAAATTATATTTATTAAATGCAAAGTGAATGACTGACTTGAACATCGTACTTATGATCATGATAAAAATATTGATCTAATATATAGAAGTCTAATAATGATTAAATTAATAATTATTATGCTTACTTTTTAAATAAAAGCAAGCATTATTTCATCAAATTGCACAAAACTCTAAAGAGGTCAACATAAGTTTTTAACTTTTAGTAAAGTTTCTACTCTTGTATTTTCATTTAAGGTATTTGTTTAGATCTAGTACAATACTGCATTATGTTACATTTTAATGACATTCGTTTAGGTTTGAAACTGTTTTGAATATTCAATAATAATAATAATAATGATATAATAATTTAATAATAATAATAATAATAATATTAATAAAAACGGTGGTTATAAAGTGCTTACCACCGAGGTCTCTAAGCTCTAGAATCAAATCAACTCTAATTTTCATCTTACCTTCAGTTCAACTCTTAAGAAGTGTTCCAGATGCAAGTATGTAAGCTACTGCAATAAATCATGTCAGGTAAAAACTAATCTTTTGTTTTGGTTCCCTCCAACATAAACCCATTGCCTATATCAGAAATGAATGATTCCTGAATTAAGTCTATGGAAATAAGAGAATTCGAACAGTCAGGGTTCCAGTGAGTTAAAATAACTCTTAAAAAATCAAATATTATAGTATTAATGACTGCTTTGAGAGAAATAGTTGTTTTATTACGCTCAAGGGAAGGTTAGAATTGTGCTATTCCCCGAGGCTTGCCGAGGGGAATAGCCCAATTCTAACCTTCCCGAGAGCGTATGAAAACAACTATTTCTCGAATATTAAAGCAGTCATTAATACTTTTATATGCCGAAAAAAAAATAGACTAAAAAATAAAAAATAAAAAATACTTTTTTTTTTGTCGAAGGTGAGAGTCGAACTCTTGCGTACAATGAGAGATGAATCTTACACCAACGCCTTACACCACTCGGCCATCGCGCGCTGTTCACATGCTTGGCAGTTTTGTACAATATATACATTAAAATGGATTGAAACCGGCTTCGGCGTGATGAATGCTTCGCAAAAGCACCCTTCTTTTACTTTTGCAATGCATATTGGCACGAACTTAGATCAAGATCTATCGGCAGATGTTGTTTTTTTGTTTTTGGAAGTTTATTTTCGTCTTCATGTCAACAATGCAAGATAAAATTGTCGGTAAGATCGATCGAGATTCAATTGTATTGAAATTACCGACCAATCCTTCGCACACATACGGTATCCTCGATCGCTCAAACCATTTTTTAACATGTAAACCTATGGGGTAACCATGGAGGCTGACCTATTTTTTTAATAACCATGGTTATTAAAAATATTAAATGTTTTATGCATGGTTACCGGGAATTTTACAGGAACAGTTGAAGTTTATGAATGCAATTCGACCAATCAGATGGCTGGATTTCTTAAGTGAGGTATATAATTCATAATATCATATTATACAAATGATGCATGCGCATGAGTTCATTATACGATCTATCCGCACTCGAGTTGAGGCTGTGTGTACATCTATCGCACGAAGCCGTTGTGGTGAGTGCGATAGATACACACAGCATCAACGAGGGCGGGTAGATCGTATATAATGAACGAATGAAAACATGCATCGTTTGTCTTATACAACGAAACTCCTAGATCCTTGTTATTTGATGTAAAAATAATTCATTCAAGATTGTTTCGTGACAATATATGGCTGAAAAATAAATCTCAAGTTTAATAAGGCTTTACCCTAAAAAGGCCGGGCTATTTGAGGTCTTAGTACGGCCGGGGGCCATATTATGGCCGTGAAGCAGCTGATCTCCGCGAAAATGTGCACGCTTGTCAAGTGAAGTGTATAGAATAATATGATAATTTCAATTTTTAGAAAAATTCACTTATTTGCATATTTATGGTAATTTATGCAAATAAAGTCATAAAATCACATTTTTGGCCATAAATCATATATTATTCATATTTGAGCATTCTTTTTCACTACATATCTTTATTAGACCAATCGGAGTAAAATACGACAAAACAATTCGGAAGAGCTAGCTTATTCCTTATGTTATCTCTTGTTTTTATAATTTCTTATGTATTTCATTGTTTTTTTAACTTATGTGTTTTATTGTTTTTGTTGTTTAATTTCATTTCTCACTACAATTCAACTATTTTGACTCCAAAAACAACCATCTAAACTTTAAACAAGACCCAATAACCAAGTTTTAGGAAAAATGACATTTCCATAAGTTTTGTACACAAATCACAAAAATGAGCGATTTTCGGGCTGACATGCAAAGACAAAAGGTCACGTGACCTTGTAACTGTTGGTCTGATTTTCAAAATTTTGTAATCTAAAGAAAAAAAGTCAGCGAGCGGCGGGGCGCCATTCATATGCGTTCCCGAGCAATCGGAAAGATAATGGAGGGGAGCCAATGCCCCCCCCCCCCGGCCTTATTAGGGTTAATTTTGTGCGCACACATAGCTATATATATAGCAAGCGTACTAATTACCTCTATACTCATTTACGCATAGTGCTTCGCAAGACTAGACTCATGCTCACGTAGTATTAAGCACTCTATAACCTCTAACCTCTACGCGCACTATTGCGCTCTAAAAACGAGTTCAATAGTACTGGAAAATATTGCACTCCTTTCCATGAAAACGAGTGCAATAGGCTCAGTAAATGAATCACACGTGACCGCGCATGACCAATCATTTGAATAGGATCTGGGAGTGAGTTGATTAAATTATGATATGATATTATGAAATATTTGATTTCGTTTTGGTTCCCTCCAACATAAACCCATAATTTTGTCAGCTATATACTGTCACGAAACACTCTTGAATGAATTCTTTTTACATCAAAGAACAAGATCTAGGAGTTTCGTTGTATAAAACAAATGATGCATGTTTTCATTCGTTCAATGCGATAGATACACACAGCCTCAACTAGAGTGCAGATGGATCGCATAATGAACTCATGCGCATGCATCATTTGTATAATATTCCCTAAGATGGAGATAAAGACATTTTTGTAAGGTCGCTAACCATTATGACATTTTATGGAGTTTGGGGCTATGTTATATTAAGTATAATTGGCCATTACTTTATTAGTGACATAATGGTTGTTTGAAATTAGTGGTCATTGCATGAACTATGTAGAAATAATCAACAGAAATAATCAATCAATCCTATGATGTGCCTAAACTTCTATGAACTGTTAAGTGAAGAGGTTTTTACACATAATTGTGATTTAAAGGTGTTAAAGTGCGGGTTCATAGAAAATCACAAATATGGCAAAAAGCGTTTTACTAGAAACTGGTAAGCTAACAGATGGCCATCATGCAAGTTTTAGGTCAACTACATATCGGGTGGTTTATAAGAATACAAATAAAACAACCTCCATAGCATCAGGGATATGCGAGAGATTCGCCAGAAAAATAACGATGTTTTCATGCCGTCACATTATGAACCAACCCTTCCCAAGCAGACGACATCCCATAAAGAATGAACATAATTGCAATGCTTTTATTTCTCAAATAATAATGGTTTAGTGTATATAAATGTGATGGAATTTTACACCATTCAAAGAGGGATATGACCCCCATTCTGATAACTAAATTCTTTTGTTTATAAATACACAGGATATGGGTTAATGAACAATCAAAGAAATCACACTTTCAAATTAAAAAACCTCCGGAATGATAGCATGGACGATTTTGTTCCCTCTTGAAACGCCGAACATGCCGCGGTGTATGCAGCTGAATATACAATGGCGTCTTATTTTGTTTACAAGCGACGGATTGCTCTTTTTTTTAATCCTTGTATTTTTTATCAAAATAATACCATGAACGGGGTTTAGAGTGAGGCAATAGATTAAAGTAAGTATTGTAGTAAGAGAAATAACTGAAGAAAAGATGACAAAACAAACACTGAAATTGTGTGAAATGTTATAGGACATCGTCTGTGCACATCATGTTCAACATGTGACGTCATATCTCAGCAGCGACCGGGGAGCTTTTCAGGGGCTATGTCGGGCTGTATCTAAGCGTTTTTGTAGATGTTAATAATCATTACTTCGAATGTTTCCAAGCTGGGAGGTCTGAAGACATCCTGGAAGCAAATACAGGATACAATAGAGTCACTAGATATCCTTTGTTGCCATTTCAAGTTTATCTAGAAGATGACTATATATTTCCATTTAACCTGCCAATCAAAGTGTCACCTTTGCAATGATGACATTAAAGTTACTTTTTTTAATCAATGAACCTTCTCTTTAAAGATTTCAAGTTTCTATAATGGCTGTTGTTTGTATCCTTTGCAGAAAAGGGACTGGACAAGATGTCATAAGCAAGACTGTAAACAAATGAAGATAATAAATCCCGGGTTACCTCGAGAGGTAGCATAGTTTGTTCAGCTTGTGTCTCAAATCATCCAGAAGCAAAGACGATACCCTCCATGCACTCATGATGATGAGGATTATTTTCCAACCACCGTAGACCAGTTGGAATCCCATCTGAAATATGCTAGAAAGGATAATATTGAGAGCTTGTTGTGTGAGTTGCAGCAGCTCTTTGAAGAGGATGTCTTACCCGAGCCTAGCAGCTTGTTGAATATGTATGGGGCGATTAACTGCAACGGTTTCTCAATACTTGATAATGATCTGAATGGCATCGCACCTGGGATATACTTGAGGTGATTTGTGTTACTACAGTGCGTCCCAAAAACAAAACTATACACTTTTGAAATGGCTGCCGAATAAAAAAATATATAATTCCGGGGGTAAAGTTTTCTATGTTATGTCTATTTGGTTTATGTATTTGTGCGTTCTTTTATTATTAATGTACTATTTTTGCAACTGTAAGTTATAGGGGGCTGCAATCTACAAGCTATGCTTTTCAGCAGTCCCCTCCATGACCAACCTGTGTTATATGCCTGTTGTACACTGTGGACCAATTACAAATATATTGTTAAGTTTCATTGTTTTACTATGTACAATGCAATCCCATGTACTTTATTTATTTTGTTGGAAATGGAAATAAACGAAATAAAAAAAGAAATATGTATGGAAAGCTCATAAACTCAACTTTCATATGACACCAAAAAGTCCAAAAATAATTCATGCTTGGGTGAGCACTGCTCACTTTTGTAGAGGGTATGAAAATTAGGTTAGCATATCTAGGTATGTATTAGACTTTAAAAAAGGCAACATAAGGTGTTATTTACATCTTCACAAAAAACTATTACTGGATAGTAAGTTACTGGATGATATGCAAAATTAATGCATATAATCTAGTACATCAATTGAATATACACTCTTAAATAACAAAAAATTTACAAATATTTTATAACTGATATTAGATTATATCAAAACATTCTTTCAGTTTGAAAAGCATTATGTCGTCCTACATTTAGGACTAAGAAACAGACAATCTAACATTTTGTGCAAGCAGGAAAATTACAAATGTCATATCCTTGACAAAGTCAAAAATAACATTTTATTATGTCGTTCTGCAAGCGCATCATTAACCAATCGTTTGATTTTTACAAGAAAAATGTGCTGATTCTAAGAAGGAATGTATATATGCTTGCATGTAAGTAAACAAACCAGGGGACCTACAGCTTTAAGTCATCTCAAAGAGACTTGGTAATGAGGATTATAAGAGAAATAAGGTTCTGAACCTGGGACCTCCCGTTTATGAGACCCATGCTCTACCACTGAGCCGTTGCGCTTCTTTCGATTTATTTATTGGTGTAAAAAAAATCGATCAGGAGCACATGCTGAACGGATTGTTTATTTTTTTGTTATGGCAGAAGGTGTTATCTATAAAAGAAACTGATATGTCTATTTTTAAATTCCAAATGAGAAAACAAATTGTGAATAATGTCCAGCTTTTCAGCAAACTCTTTCATTAACATTTAGAACTGTAGGAATACAAATATTGTTTGACTGATTGTATGTTGTACTTTCATGTAAACAATCATTCCATTAGCACAATATACTAGCACCGGGACCTTTTCTCTCGCCAATTCCAAATAGGTTGAATTTTCCTTTATTTTCTTGGGTAAATAAATGTGTAATCACATTATGTCTCTGTTTTAACTGTTCATGTTTTGAGAGCATCTATGGTGAACCATTCCTGTGATCCTAACTGTCAAGTGATAAGTGATGGGAGGAAACTTCAACTCAGGACCGTTAAAGATGTCACTGAAGGAGAAGAGGTAAGACCACATACTTTATTCTCAACTGAAATACCACATTTATTTTATTCCTTATGTTCTGGATATGCACATGAGAGAAAATACACTCAATATTTTTAAATAAATGTAATTGACTGTTGCTTTTAATATGGATTCTGTCAGGATCATTATCTACTCATTGCACCATAACATTTTCAGGATTAGTCTAATAGGATTTATAAGATTTGAATCAGCACACCCAAATGGTTCAGTTTAAATGTGGGAATCCAAGGATTCAATCCATGTTATGTTCTAGATTTTGAAAAACATAAAGGTTTTTACTTGTACATGTATTATAAAAATAACATGTGCTTTATAATTTAAGATCCTTACAACCGGTTTTCGTTTGGTTTTAGTGTACAATCAGCTATGTAGATTTAATGGACCCAACTAAAGAGAGACAGGCTGAGCTGGAAAAGAGATATCACTTCACCTGCAAGTGTGTGAAATGCATTAAAGAAATCAATGTGAGTCTTTAAGTTACAGTTTCATTTACCTGTAGGTAGTTTTCTTTTAAACTTCTAGAGATCTTGGAACTTGGATTGTATTGATTGTTTTGGGATAAGGTATGCGGTTTGAGTGTGCACCATTATGACTTCCAATGTTCAAAGTAGTGAAGCAATAATTATATTGGGCAATAATAAAGTCCATGCACTGCTTTACTTTCTATTATTACTCAAATTTGAAATGATGATATAACTCTCAAATACCCTATTCTCATGCATACATTAGCCAAGGCAGTTGATACCTGCATGGATCTATTTTCAGTAATGCACTAGATATAAGTGATTTCTAAACTCTATACAGTGCGTCCCAGAAAAAACGAAACCGAGAATTGTTCGATGTTTTATTATGACTTATTCACATTTATGATTAATAAATGACACATGCATTAAGACTGTCGTCTACGGCTGATTGTCAACGAAACGGAGTTAAGTCTTTAGTTAATTCCGTTTGTTGCTACGACAGACAGCCAGTGAAAACGAATTCGTTTAATAAAAATAAGGAAATTCAAGCACTACTTTAAACAAACAGAACTTTGTTATTCCTTGCTCATTTTTCCTGACTGAGGTGTCATATGAAAGGGCAGAAATTCAACTTTCTAGAAATGTGATTTTCTCTTTGAAATTCAGATACCGGCCGCCAAATGATTTTTTGGTTTCCTGTCTTCAAATTCATTTAAATCGCTTATGCGTAAAATATGCATCATATAAATGGAATCAAATGAAAAAGGAGGATCTAAGCTTTCCAATGTGTAATTTATTAATTATAGATGTGGATAAGTTATGATAAAACATCGATAATTTTCCGTTTCGTTTTTTCTGGGACGCACTGTATAGAAATTGTTTCACATAACTTGCAATATATGCATTTCAGTACAAAATATTTAAAAATCTCATTGTCAAGTTGTTTATGCTTTACATTCTAATTAAATGTTTGTTTGTATCTTTCAGCCAGATGATGGTTTAGGTGAATTAGAGCTGCGAGGTCTGAAGAAATCCTTGGAACAAATACAGGATGCAGAGAATTCAAAAGATATCCTTTGTTGTCATTTAAATTTTATCTAGAAAATGACTATATATCTTGTCAATAAGTTGAAATACCAGGAATGACGTCAATGACTGTTTTCTCATTATTTGTTTGTTTCATTTGTCGTTATCACAGAGTTATTATGTCGCTTTTTTATTTGCACAATTTACATTCTACAAATACCTTTCAGTGTAATCTATTTTTCTCTCTTGCTCTCCTTTTCCTTTTTTCTGCTTGTATATTGTCTGTCTGTCTTCAGGTCTCTCTCTCTCTCTCTCCTTTACTCTTTTCTGTATACTTCCAACTCACTGACCCCATGTTATTCCTCCCTTTTTCTCTGTATTCACTTTGCTAATTTCCGGTACTATCACATTTTCATTTCTCTCCCTTATATAATTATGTGTCCTCTCATTTTCTCTGTATACATTCTTCCAAGCTTTTTGTCCCCATCTCAATTGGTTTTCATTGCATATGGGTTGACTCTTTCTTAATGATGAGATTTACATTGGACCAAAGTGTTACAGCTGTGTGCACCCTACCTGAAGCTGGACTCCTCCAACAATCTTTTAGCAAATTATTATCTCCTGGTCAGGCTCAGACAAGAGGCAATTAAAGTATGCGTACACATACAAGCATGGGATAAATATGTTGAGATGGGGCAACTGAACATAGAGTCTTTAAGGTAAGAATAGGTTCGTAATACACACATTATACAGAACAATTAGTGCTATTCAGATGCATGATGTTATTTTTATTTTTTTTAATAATGAACAGACTGTAAATGGTACATTAATTAAGCTTTTATGAATACTGATCAGACAGAGGAAGTGTGATATTTTCAGCAGATCTTCCCCCTAATAAGGCTTGTTAAAACATGGCGCTTGGCGTTTTGTGGTAAACTCTTGCAAGAATATTAAGGATTATATACCTCACGTAAGAAATCCAGCCATCTGATTGGTCGAAATTGCAGTCATGGTTTTAGCCATTTCCGTAAATAAACGAGAAATGCCACGCCCATGTAATAGTTCGAGGGTAAAATTCAAGTTACCGGAAATAGTTCAGTCTTGCTTAAAAACTGGTTTGAGCGATCGCGGATACCATATACATTGTGTGTGCGAAAAATTGGTCGCTAGACAGCAAGAACACCAAAAGGGTAAACCCTACGTTTTATTATTAGCCGTAGATCTAGGTCTAGATATGGATTGTGATTTTATTGCATGCGATAGCGGTGATACAGGTATTTAAGATTGTATAATGCAAGTGTTTGAATTAATTTGGTGGATGAAAAGTTGAATTCTACGCCGTTTTGTGCGTCATTGCAGCGCTGAGTTTGGTGTGTTTGTCGCTAATTTCTGACAAATTTAGATAGCTTTCCTGATGGTATTTCATGCGAAATTATGTTATATTGATAAGCACTGATTCTTGTCCTTACCTTTGACTTGTTTCTTGTCTGTTATAGTCATTTAATAGATGAATTACTTGAATTCTGAGCACATTTCAGTAACACAAAAATGCCAGCCCGTTCATAGTCCCACGTATTTGTATGTACCTTGTGCCCTTACTGTCTGCTGTCTCGATAGCGTAAACAAACTTGATTACCATGATTGGTAAGTCGCACATGTATTCTATGACCCTTTTCGGTATATACAAGTATTAATGACTGCTTTCATTTTCGAAACAGTTGTTTCTCAAAGCAGTAATTAATACTATAATAAAATACGGATGGATGCCATGCATTTGTAATTGTGCAAGGGGGTAATTTTTCGGGTGTATTAATGTCCTTGAGGGGTAATTGTCTAGGGGCTAATTGTCCTAGAACCCACTGTACATTTAGCAAAACCATAGTTTTATGACTGAATGTGTATGTTATTTGATTTAGATATCACTATGGACCATACAGTGCCATGCTGGGGCTTCACCTCCTGGACATGGGTAATAAGCTGCTTGAAATGGGGAGACTTCGGGAGGCCAGAAAATATCTCACAGAGGTAACTATTTTCCTATAAATTGGTGGGACTGTCTTCTAATGAAGACTACAATAGTGGTTGTTTTCATTTTTGTACTGAAAATTTTTCCCTTTTTTTTTCTTCATTCAGCTCTTTTGACAACATTTGACTTTGCAGCTGAGTAGAAGAGTAGAATTGTGCATTTACGTCTACTATTTAAGGGATAGATGAGTTTTGTTGCAGAGGGCGCTACTCAAAATATTTTTTGTGAGATAATGAAAAACTGAGTTTCAAATTTGAAAGAATACACAATTTAGATGATCTTTGTTTAATAAAAATCAGTTCAGAGACGGCTGAAATATCCATACATATAACAATTTCTAATATTTGTGGTGCCCTACAAATAAATATATGGTTAATTTTGAACCAGCCGTTGAAAAACGAGATAGCGCCTTATTCGTTTTATATTCCAGCCAATGTAAATATTGGCTTTTTGTTGGCTTTTACGTGTTGGTTATAATACGCACAACCAGCCGGCCCGTGTATTGTTATTATTAATTAATCAATTAATTTTAACGATCACCATACTTTTTAAACGTTGAGGTGAATTGGTATGATCGTATTCAATCTAAATTCAAACATTTGGGGGTCTAAAATTACCTTCATACCAATTTCAGATACTAAAAGGGCACTAAAAATGTCATTAATAAAAAAATAAGAGCAAAAACCATGCACTTCGAAGGCATTTTCGGTCTTATACAAGAACTCAACTATCCCTTTAAGTAACACTATGAAAATGACAGACAAAGAAAGCGGACAAAATATACAGTTCCTCAGGTAGACAAAGGAACATCCCTTCACTGCTATTATGTAAAAAGGTGAATATGCATGTGACACCTGTTCTACACCTTTTTACATAATAGCAGTGAAGGGATGTTCCTTTGTCTAACTTAGGAACTGTATATTTTGTCCGCTTTCTTTGTCAGTAATGTTCATAGTGTAAGTACAGGCATTAATTCATCTTTAAGGATGGTGTGTGTGGGTTGGGGGGGCGATGATGATTAAATGCACGATACGATACACAGTGAAATCCAGAATCATCTGAGGTACCCCATCCCATTTGACCACCCTGTTATAGTGAAGAAGTGAATAAGCTTTATACATTATTGTTTGGGCTGAAAAAGGCTCATAAACCCCCAGTAAATCATAAGCAAATTTTTTGTTTACTGGACATTCTTATTCAGAACCTAAATCGTGTTAGTAGCCTTGATATAAATTAGCTAGGACAATAGATGAACAAGTTCTCAATCAATAAGGAAGGAATTCGATCTACTTTAATCCATGCTCTTACATAAAGACAGAGGAAGTGACCTTGCTGGCATGCTAGGAGCATGTATGATGAAGTAGATCAATACAGGTTTATTTTATTTTCATCGCATCGAACCAATAAACGTATCCTTTTATGTCTTCCATTTGTATGAAAAAAAATTGTCTCTTATATTTGTGATCAACTTGTTGATGATCTCTCTCTTCAAACTCTCCTTAAATTTTTCCTGTCTTTTTGTGCTTCTGATTTAGGAGGAGGTTAATTTGATACCAAAGGTGTCTGTTATTTATTTTTTATTTCTTTTGTTTTTTTCAGGCAAAGAGTGTTTTGGAGATAACACATGGTCCACAGCATTCATTCATGATGACACCGTACGTGCAAAAACTGCTTGATCTGTAGATGTAGATAATGCATGGCTAACAACTTTCTCGAAGGTCACCCCTTCTGTCTGATACTGCAGATAACACATGTCTACCAACCGTCACTGATGTCAACTTCAATACAGGACTTTTTCTGTAGCAGTAGATGACACTGGAAAAATACTAAAGATGGAAGGACAGAGTGACATTGAGAACGAGTGAGATCGAAAGGAAACAACAAGATACATAACAAGTTTGAGAACCCCGAAGGGCCCCGTTTCATGAAACTTGTTTTTAATAACATGTTATGATAATTGTTATAAGCTACTGAAATCCTGCATTTGATTGGCTGTGAGCAGATTTGTCATAGATATGTGGCAGTTATTATTTATAACAGGTTTGATGAAAACAGGGCCCAGTTCTATTTAAGGAGGTGTTACATGTGGAACTAATTACTATAGTACTTTGCAGAATTCAACATCTATTTCTTCATTGAAACACCTTTATAAACAATTGCATTTTCATGAATGTACTAAACTACCAGTAAAGCCATGGATGCATATATATGCATATGTTGTATATACTTTTTACCCATTTGAATATAAATTTAAGCATTATACGTCACCGGAAATATATTAAAAATGTGAGTGTTATTAATTAATCATATTGCTGTGGGAATTGTTTATGAGTGCTTTTATTGCTTCTGTGACTGGTAGTTCAGGTGTGTTGATGATTTATAGATGTGTTGTGTCTTATTTCCTTCGAGTGTGCTGGGTGATAATCTGATTCTACTAATTAAGTTTAATTTCTTTTTTACCGTTTATCAAATCGTTGGATGATCTCACTTTGTGAATCTGAGTAAATTTATAAATTTACATTTATATTTTTAGTCGCTGGTTATTTTATATGTCATATTATTTCATATCGCTATAATATATTTTCATGTTTTTGCCTTATTTCATTGTTATTTTGAATGTTACCATGTATATATATATATAGGTACATTGTGAAAAAACAGCCTTGGCCGACATATTGTCATATCCTGAATGAACATTTTTCAATAAATAATAAATAAATAAGTTTGAGAAATAGTATAATGGCTAGAGGTATACGATTCATTGTGTCGCTAGAGCATTTTTAATGGGGGGGGGGGTGATGCTAGGTCAGAAATGTTTTTTGTCAACAAGTCGAAGAGAAAGTGCATGTTTTCCTCTTACTTAAGACATAATTGGTACTTCTATAGTCTGACGTCATTCAAATCGGAATACATTTTCCATATGTATTTGTATCCTTTTTACAGGTGTATTTTAAAATAAATTGTTATGCAGCTCATGGAAACCTATGGAAAACAGAAAAGAATTATATAGCACTTGGTTATAATTATACAATAATCAAGATTCCACCAAATGTCTTTTATGTGAAGAATAATTTACTTGTACACAGACATGCTGTATTCTCATGCTTTAATAAAGAAACAGCCAATTTGAACTTTGATATGTTATTTCTTTTCATAGTACATTTATAATTTCCCGGAATGAGAGATAGAAATAGGAGAAGAAAGAGAGGGGGAGGGAGAAAGAAAGAGGGGTGTATTGGAGACAAAAACATGTATTAACAGATCAGAACTTGAGAACAAAATATATTCAGATGCAATTTTGCTATCAGAGAACTACACAATGTCAAACAACAAAGGAATTACAGATGGAGAGTTATAGTGAGTGGAGACTGACAAAGGGAGAGTAAAGACACTCATGTACAGTGAAAGAAACAGAGTGACGATGAAAGTTGATAGACACACCAGTAATTCGTTTAAATGCAATCTCATTCAGCGATCATCATTTTCAAGTTCAGTTTGATTTATTGGTCATGCATGCACAATAAAAACAAGTACAATTGGCATTAAAAAAAAAATCATTCTCTGGCTCTTTACATGAAATATCAAGTTTCATATTAGCATATGTAAACATGGAATCAGAAAAGAGAATAACAAATTACAAATACATACATGTATAAGACACGAATATGAATGATTTAAGATAAAGCAATACATATATAATTATGCATGACAAATTAAACAGGAAATAGAAAACACACCACATCTGGGAAGAGACAACAAAGCCTATTAGTAGAATACATTACATGGACAAGGAAACCAGAAAACAGCAGATAGTTAGAAATAAGGAGAAGCAATGATAATAGGAGCGGAGAAAACAGAACATAGTAAATAATTGTAGTGAGAATGAGAAAAAAATGAATGGAGCGAGAAATGAACAGAGTTAAGGCAAAGGTTGAAACATGAGGGAGTTATAGGGAGAGGTGGTAGAGAGGAGACAGAAGCATGTACGTACAAAAGAAAGATTAGGATGTGTGAGATTAGAATGGGAAAAAAAGAGATGGAGGGAGAGGTAGTAGAGAGGAGAAACAAGCGTGTACGTACAAGAGAAAGATTAAGATGTGTGAGATCAGAATGGAAGAAAAAGAGATGGAGGGAGAGGTGGTATAGCTAGAGAGAAGAAACAAGCATTTACGTACAAGAGAAAGATTAAGATGTGTGAGATCAGAATGGAAGAAAACGAGATGGAGGGAGAGGTGGTATAGCTAGAGAGAAGAAACAAGCGTGTACGTACAAGAGTAAGATTAGGATGTGTGAGATCAGAATGGAAGAAAAAGAGATAGAGGGAGAGGTGGTATAGCTAGAGAGGAGAAACAAGCATGTACGCACAAGAGAAAGATTAGGATGTGAGAGATCAGAATGGAAGAAAAAGAGATGGAGGGAGAGGTGGTATAGCTAGAGAGGAGAAACAAGCATGTACGCACAAGAGAAAGATTAGGATGTGAGAGATCCGAATGGAAGAAAAAGAGATAGAGGGAGAGGTGGTATAGCTAGAGAGAAGAAACAAGCGTGTACGTACAAGAGAAAGATTAGGATGTGAGAGATCAGATTGGAAGAAAAAGAGGTGGAGGGAGAGTGGTATAGCTAGAGAGGAAAAACAAGCATGTACGTACAAGAGAAAGATTAGGATGTGAGAGATCAGAATGGAAGAAAAATAGATGGAGGAAAGGAAATAGTATAGTATAGTATTTATTTTCCCTTTTAAAAACAAACATATAATACAAGTATATACAAAACGTCAATAAAACGGCTGGATAGCCCATATTCAGCTGTGCCAGGCACGATACTGCTGGTCTTCCATGGGGTCCAGAATTCATATACATAAATAAATATAAAACATGACATGTGATTATTTACTACATTAAAGGATATAAAGAAGGAACAATACACAATTATAGATGCTTAAACTCTACAAAAAGGTAGTTGTGTGAAAGGACTGGGAAAGTCCCCCTCCCCCCCCCCCCCCCCTCCCGATACAGAGCATACAATATTCCGAGTCTTGAAAAGGTCAATTTATTTTCAAGGTCTGGGTGTTTGAGCATTTGAGTGGAACAACGTTAATTCGCGCTTAAAATTATTCAGAGTGGAGGCATTTTTTACAATTAAAGGGAGATTATCTTAAAGCAATAGCTCCTCTATACTTAAAATTTCTTTTCAAAAATCAGTATTAGGCTTAAGCTTATACAGTCTTCCGCCAAAGCGTAAGTGGTATTCGTGCACAGATATACTAAAAAGGTCTGAAATGTAAACAGGGGTCATGTCATTAAGTGATTTAAACATATAAGTTAGCAAATGCTGATTTCTCCTGTCGTGTAACGATTCCCAGTAAAGGGCATTGTGAATTTCTGAATTGGGTACATGAGAGTCACGATTGATATTTAGAATCAAACGCCCAGAATGATTTTGGAGCTTTTGTAATATTTCAGTTAAATATTTACAGGCCGAACCATAAACAAAAAATCTCCGTAGTCGAAGCGGGAAAGAACAACTGCATTGTATACTAGTTTTAATATAAATTCATTCAAGGTGCTTCTTATTCTATCAAGAAAGCTTACCATTTGTCCTATTTTTTCACCATCTTATCAGTGTGAATGTTCCATTTAATTTTCTCATCACAAATGACACCTAAGTACTTGACATTTTCCACTTGTTGAATTTTGGTCTTACAGAGTGTGACTTTTAAGTTTTTTCTTTTGACAGCATGTATATCGACTACCAATTAGCATACAAACTGTGTTATCAAAATTTACACTTAATCTATTTTCCTTCATCCACTGGTGTAGAAGAAGTAGGTCACTGTTCAGAGTTGACTAAATTTGGCGTACTGAGGTATCGGAGGAATATATTACTGTGTCGTCTGCATATAACTTTAGACTGCTTGATTTGATTTATTTGGCAAGATCGTTAACGTATATAATAAATAAGAGGGGCCCTAAAAGTGACCCTTGTGGGACCCCGCATGATATGAATTTGGAAGATGAAAGAGAATGATTTACAAGGGTTTTACATGTTACAAAAGGATGAGATGAAGGAAGCAAGTTATTATTTGTAAATTGTAATACAGCATTATGAACTTCCCCACAATGTACGTAGATATTTCACCAAATTGAGTTCCAATGTGCACATCATATCCTGGCCACAATAAATTACATATATTAGGTACGCATATATATACGAGTGTCGGGTTGCGGTTCTAACAAATTCCTAGCGCCCTTAAGTACACAGAGGCAGCCCAGCAGACATGTTGTACGATTGATAACTACTGGCTAACTGACCATTAAGCATTACAGCATTCTATGTAGCATTCCACATACATTCCATGCAATGTAGAAGAAACCAATAAATATTCATATAGTCCCATACAAGTATAAATCAACATCACAAAGTATTCTTGAATATTCAAACATAAACAAAGGGTATATATTGAATATTCATAGTATATGTAAATTATACTATAAGCTCGACTGCATCAGGTGAACATTGAAACCAATGAGAGAGCGAGAGATAGACAGATGAAAGGATGGTGGATGAAAAGGGTGAATGTGAATGAGGGATGACCTATTAATATGAAAGGGATGAATCATGGACATAAAAGGGAGTTTCAGCAGTTCAAAATAAATCCCTACACGAGTATGGCATAAACCATACGTGAATACGGTGAATTATACAAATACGTAATCATGACAGTGTTATGGGAACCAAGACATATTTACGAGTGGGAATTCCCACCCCTAAGGGAGAAAAAATCATACTCATTTAACCCTGTTATAACGAGAGGGATTGTTGGGCGTGCAAGCACCTGTTCCGTTAAACATAATAGTACTATCCTTTTGTTATGAACGTCAGTGGGAATTCCCACTCGACAAAAAAAAAACGTACTCATATACAACTGCATAGCTGAATGAAATATTATCATACACCTAATATTCAGCAGGATGGTCGCCCGTGCCTGTTTGAGCTGAGAGGAGCAATTTCATATTAAAGTTTACACTAATATAATGGCGGTGTCTGCTATACCTATGGAACATGTGCGTGTTGTAAAATCAGCTACTTGTGGGCGAAGTTTGGTCTTCACTTCAAAATTTGCGAGGGGACAATGTATCCTTGAAGAATTGCCATATGTTTATACACTGCAAGACAACAAAAGGGGACGCTACTGTGATTTTTGCCTCAAAAAATGGTGTTGATTTTTATTTTTTTTTCTTATAATGTGATTATAAGAAGTGATAGGGTACTAATGGCTTATTTTAGGGGTCCTATATACTATTGAAATCCACGTGCTTTCTTTTTATATACTTTTTCTTTCTTTTTTCTTTGGCCAATTAGCACGGGTTAATTCCATTTTAATGACGATATGATATTAAGAATAAATAATGTTTATTAAATGCTATGTCCATGATTGAATTAAACATCGTAATTATTATCATGATAATAATATAGATCTAATATAGAAGTCTAATAATGATTAAATTAACCATCATTATGCTGAATTTTGAAATAAAAGTAAGCATTACTTTATCGATTGGCAAAAAACTAAAAAGAGGTCAACATGAATTGTTTAAAGTTTGTAAATTTTAGTAAAGTTTCTACTCTTGTTTTTTTTCTTCATTTAAGGTATTTGTTTGGACCTAGTACATAACTGCATTATGTTACATTCTAATGACATTCGTTTAGGTTTGAAACTGTATATTTCAAGAATGATAATAATAACAACAATAATGATAATAAAAACGGTGCTTATAAGGCGCTTACCACCGAAGTCTCTAAGCGCTAGAATCAAGTCAACTCCAATATTCATCTTACTTTCAGTTCAACTCTAAAGAAGTGTTCCAGCTGCCATTATGTAAGTTACTGCAATAAATCATGTCAGGTAAAAACAAATCTTTTGTTTTGGTTCCCTCCAACACATAAACCCATTACCAATATCAGAAATGAATGGTTCCTGAATTAAGTCTATGGAAATATTAGAATCTAAGCAGTCAGTGACTTAGTGAGTTGAAATAACTCTAAAAATATTTCAACACTTCAATGTTTGGAATGGCATATCACGCCAATTCATATCTTTGTGACGATTTACATTCACCTAAATTTTTATTAAATTATAATGATATAGATCACTTTTTTTCGCAATTTTGATCATTAATAATGGTCTATTTACACTCAAATTTTCAGATTATCTTTTATTGTACATCTAGCATTGAAGTCACTACCTTAGCACCATTTTCTCTCATCTCAACAATGTTACCAAATCCCTTTAATGGCTGTTGGTAGACTTACTTAGATTGTCGTTTGGTACGGCTTACATTCTTATTTTGATGTTTGTACCCCGTGCAGCGAGGAGACTGGGCAAGATGTCACAAGCAAGACTGCAAAACACTGAAGAGAAGACATCCCATGATACCTCCAGACTTAGCTGAGATAGTTCAGCTTCTATCTCATATTATCCAGAAGCAAACACGATCCCCTCCATGCACTCAGGATGATGAGGATTGTTTTCCAACTACCGTAGAACAGTTGGAATCCCATCATGAGAATCTGAGCGATACGAGAAGGGATGCATTTGTGACAGTGTTGTTTTCGTTGAAGTATTGCGAAGATGATGTCTTACCTGAGCTAAGCAGCTTGTTGAAGATGTTTGGGGCGACTGCCTGCAATTACTTATCAATAGTGAATAATGATCTGAATGTCATTGCAGTTGGGATATACTTGAGGTGATTTCTGTTACTATAGTGATTGATAATCGTTTTACCTGATTCTAAGAAAGAATGTATATGCTGTTAAGTAAACAACCAGGGGACCGACAGCCTTAAGTCCTCTCCAAGAGACTTGGTAATGAGGATTAAAGGGCAATTCGAATCCAACAAAAACCTACTTTTAATAGAAGCAGAAAATCAGACAAACCAATCAACAACAAAAAATTGAAATTGTTTAAATTCCCCTCGAGTATTTATGATTGTTTTAATATGCTTACAGAAGTGATTAATTATATTTTCATTCTCAAGGTCCATAATGCTTACAAATTTCTCTTTAACTTTAAACTGTCCCGATATTTCAGCAATTTTATTGAGAAATACCCCCCCCCCCTTCAGCCTTATATACAGTACAGTACAACCCTTCCCAAGTTACAGTCATTACAAGATCTTAAATGTGAAGGTATTTTTCCAGGACGTCTATATCTCTTCCAGTTTCTATCGGTAGGTTATGTGAACTATTTCTAAATCGGCAGATATTTGTTCGTAGTTTACGGTTTTTAACGGTTAATACATATTTCTGTTTGTATATAAAATAGATTATATGTTCTCAATTTATTATGTTCATTGCCATTTACAAAATCACTACATGTATCGATCAAGAACTTGCGGTGGTAAAAGTCTTCCATTTGGGTTTCTATTTATTCTCCAAGTACTCTATCACTATCGTTAAAGTCATCCAATTCTAAACAATCATCATTTTCATCATTTTATTGTACATGTATGTTGTACTTTACATGTTAAGCATGATTCCATTAGCATAATATACTAGTACCTTTCTCTTCCCAATCCCATATATCCATTTTCTTTTTTGTGTAAATAAATGTTCATTATTATGTCTCTGTTTTAACTGTTCCGGTTTTTAGAGCATCTATGGCGAACCATTCCTGTGCTCCTAACTGTGCATGGGTGTGTGATGGAAGAAAACTACATCTCAGGACTGTTAAAGATGTCAAAGAAGGAGAAGAGGTAAGACCACATATATTATTCTCAAATACCACATTTGGTTTGTTCCTTATGTTCTGGATATGCACGTGAGAGAAAATATCTTAATATTGTTAAAGAAATGTAATTGACTGTTGCTTTATATGGATTCTGTCCGGATTATTACCAACTCATTTTACAATAAAAAAAAATCAGGATTACTCTACCAGTGTTTATAAGATTTGAATCAGCACACCCAAATGGTTCAGTTTTTTATGTTGTAATCCAAAGATACAATGTATATCAGTTATAGATTTTGCAGTGAAGGACGTTTCAACTTTTATGAAGAACTGATGTATATTCTTTAGATTCTTTAGATATTTGTCACAATTTTGGAAGATATCACAATGGTCAACGTCCATTAATTTGCTGGTAAGTCTGGTCATATGAAAAAGAATCAAGCAAATACATGACCTTGAAAACATGATAGTCTTTACTTGTTCATGTATAATAATAATAAAATGTGCTTATAATTTAAGATCCTTGCAACCGGTTTTCGTTTGGTTTTAGTGTACAATTACCTATGTAGATGTCATGAAACCAGTTAAAGAGAGACAGGCTGAGCTGAAAGAGAGATATCAATTCACCTGCAAGTGTGCGAAATGCATCGAAGAAATCAATGTGAGTCTTTACTTTACAGTTTCATTCTTTGTTTTACTCTTCTCAAATGCTGCAAAATATCCTGAAAATAAAATTCAAGTTGTATACCGGTAGGTAGTTTTCTTTGAAACTACATGTTCTAGATATCTTTGCACTTGAATTGTATAAAAGTGACGGTCTCGATAAGGTCTGCGGTTTCATGAATGATTGTGCACCATTATAACTTCCAATGTTCAAAGTAGTGAACAATATATCGTGCAATAATAAGATCTACGAGCTGCTTTACTTGCTATTCATACTCAAATTTGAAATAATGATATAGCTCTCAAGTAACCTATGCTCATGCATACATTAGCCAAGGCAGTTGATACCTGCATGGATCTATTATCAGTAATGCACTAGATAATAAGTGATTTCCAAAGTCCATATAGAAATTGTTTCACATAACTTGCAATATTGGCATTTTAGTGCAAAATAAAAATGTGCTTATTGTCAAGCTAATCTTTTTTACATTCTGATTAAATGTTTTCTGTATATTTCAGGCATTGGGGCCAGATGATGGTTTAGGTGAAGAGCTCCGAGATCTGAAGAAATCCTTGGAGCAAATAAGGGATGCAGAGAAGGCACAAGATATCCTATGTTGACATATAAAGTTTATTTTAATATACAATGACTATATATTACTATATAACCTGTCAATAAGTTGAAATACTAGGAATGAAGTCAATGAATGTTTTCTCCTTTAGTGTTTGTTTCATTTGTCGTTATCATAGAGTTATTAGGTCGCTTTTTTATTTGCACAATTCACATTCTACAAATATCTTGCGTTGTAATCTATTTTTCTCTTTTGCTCTCCTTTCCCCCCCCCCCTTTTTTTTGTCTCTGTCTCTCTCTCTCTCTCTCTCTCTCTCTCCTTTACCCTTTCCTCTATGCTCGAAACTCACTGACTCCCATGTTAGTCCTCTCAGTTTCTCTATATACATTCTCCCAAGCCTTTTGGTCCCTATCTCGATCAGTTTTCATTGTATGGTTTTATTCTTTCTTAATGGTGATATTTACATTGGGGCAAAGTGTTACAGCTGTGTGAACCCTACCTGAAGCCGATGGACTCCTCTAGCAGTATTCCATCCAATCATCATCTCCTGTACAAGGTCCGAAACGCGGCATTTCTAGCATACATTGACTCATACGCATGGCAGAAAGCTGTTGAGACTGGACAGCTGAACATAGAGCCTAACAGGTAAGATTAGGTTAATTATACTCATTATACACATTACACAGAATAGGAGGCGTGATAGCTCAGTGGGTAGAGCAGTGGTCTCCTAATCCGGTGACCCGCGTTCGAAACCATTAATTCTCACTACTAGGTCCTCTCGGAGAGGACCTAAGGCCGTCGGTCGTCTGGTTGCTTATTTACAAGCATTTATGCTTTCTTAGCAGTCAGGAAAAATAACCATTACATTCATAGAACAATTAGTGACATTCAAATTCATGAATTATCTTCTTTTTTTTAAAGATAATGAACAGACCTTAAATCGAATATTGATTAAGCCTTTAGCAGATCTTCCCCCCTATGGCGCTTGGCGTTTTGGGGTAATCTTGCAAGAATACCAAGGATTAAGATATGTGTGGATGCTATGCATAAAATTATAATTGAATGTGCAAGGGGTTGTTGTTCTTGAGGGCTATTTGTCCTTGGACTCAGTGTACATTTAGCAAAACCGTAGTTTTATGCCTGAATTTGACTGTTATTTGATTTAGATATCTCTACAAAGGACCATACCATGCCTCTCTAGGGATTTACCTCCTGAGAATGACTAGACTACTACGTGGCCTGGGGAGACTTGAAGAAGCTAGAAAATATCTCACAGAGGTAACTAACTTTTCTGTTTATGAATTGGTGGGACGTTATTTCAACGAAGACTACAATCGTGGGTGTTTTTTATTTTTGTTTACTGAACTTTTATCTATTTATTTTCCATTCTGCTTTTTTGACAACATTTGACATTGTATCTGAGTAGGACTGTAGAATTGTGCATTTAATAAAGTTTACTATTAATAACTGCAGGCATTATTCCATCTTCAAGGGTGGGGTGGCGGTGGGGGTAGACGATGGTAATTAAATGCGACTATACGATACACAGTGAAATCCAGAATCATCTGAAGTACGTAACCCCACCCAATCCCATTCGACCACCCTGTTTTATTAGTGAACAAGCTTTATACCTATTCATGTAGTTTTTTGGGCTGAAAATGTATCATAACCCCCAGTATATACATCAAAAGCAAGTTTGTTGCTTACTGGACATTCGTATTCAGATTCTGAACCGAGTCATTCGCCTTGATATAAATTAGCAAGGACAAAAAATGAACAATTTATCAATCAACAAGGAATGAATTTTATCTACTTTAATCCATGCTCTTACATAAAGACAGAGGAAGTGACCTTGCTGGCATGCTAGGAACATGCATGATGATGTAGATTAATACAGGTTTATTTTATTTTCATCGCATCGAACCAATAAACGTATCCCTTTATGTCATCCATTTGAATGATAAACTGTTTGTCTCTTATATTTTTGATCAACTTGTTCATGCTCTCTCTCGCTATCTCTCTCTTTCTCTCTCTTTAAAGAGAATGTTGAGTTCTGGGAAGAGGTAAAAAATAATTTGTGAGCGTTATCATTGTTATTATGCAAGGGTGGAAGAACATCAGATTAAACATGTTCCCTGAAAAGCAAGGCTCTTCAAATGCCTTCATATTCTAAATATGACGTGAAACATCGTAAAAATCCGGGGTAGGTTTTTTTCGCCATGTGCTCGTGTAGTCCCATATAAATCGTTCCGTGTACAGTGCTTGTAACTTTGCCAAGATTTGGCCAAATTTCTTATCATTTTGATGATTCCAGAACCTTGCAATACACACGAATGCTTATATACTAGATGATGAACCTTTTCTGATAGATTCCACACCGTTTCTTTCACGATACAATCACATGACCAGATCTCAACTTTATCTTAAACTCTTGTTGAACTTTTCCTGACCTTTTCTTCTTCTGATCTAGGATGAGGTTAATTTGGTGCCAAATGTGTCTGTTATCTATTTTTAAAAATAAATATTAATTCTTTTGTTTTTCAGACAAAGAATGTTTTGGAGGTAACGCATGGCCCAAAGCATTCACTGATGTTAGAAGTGCAAGAACTGTTCTTGTTACTGTAAACGCTAAAGACACAAGGACAGAGCAACAGAGAGAAAGATTGAACGGAAACAACAAGAGACTTAAGTGAATGAACATGAATACAAGAATTTCTCTGTAGCAGTAGATGACACTGGAAATACTAAAGATGGAAGGACAGAGTGACATTGAGATCGAGTGAGGTCGAAAGGAAACAACAAGATACATAACAAGTTTGAGAAGCTGGCAAACAGTCAAATCGAAATGTAGTCATTGTAGTTTGTACATCTAGAAATTTGAACACCAGGGCCCTGTTCTATATAAAACTTGTTTTTAATATCATGTTACAATCATTGTTATAATCAATCTCTATTTCTTCATTTAAACACCTTTATAAACCATTGTATTTTCTTTAATGTACTAAATAACCAGTGACACAATGAATGTATATATATATATATATATATATGTTGGAAGTTGTAAATGTTGACCTGGATATTATGTAGGTGTGTTTCCTATTTTGTAAAGATCTTTTAGACAGGTGGTAGTGTTACGAATTACTTTAGTACGGGTTAGTTAGTCCCTGACAGAAAAAGATGTAGCGAGTCAAGTTCACCTCTTTCCACACCTTTCCACAATAAGTCTAGTACGTTTGCCAACGCCTTAATTTCCACACTAAGTCTTGTACGCGTTTGCCAACGCCTGACGTATTTTAGAGAGCTTTCCTCGGCTAACTCTCCTGGTCCTTTACATCTTTATTTCTGGTATGTAGAATTCAGATTAATTTGGATGAGCAAATGTAGGGAAATACCGTTTATTTTGTGTCTACGATCGAAGTAGTGAATGGGTGCATTTTGTTGATATACCGTAGTGTAGTAGAGACATCGTAGCGACACACATTCAGGTAAGAGGACACTTTTTTTCTTCTTTTAGTCCCCAAAAAATCGCAACGACTCAGCCAGCTGCTGAATAAGCGGGGGGGGGGGGGGGGGGGGGGGGGGGGGTAAGACAACACTTTTTTAGGTCAGCCATTGCCATTTTTTTTTTTTTTTTAATAAAATTTTACAAAAAAAATTGCCGGGGGGGGGGGGCACACCCCTTTTTTTCAGTACATTTTGGGCGAATTTAGGGCTGGTTTTAACATATTTTTTTGGCGGGGGGGGGGGCACGTGCCCCCTGTGCCCCCCCCCCTGGATCCGCCACTGATTTAACACCGGTTCATGTTTTACAAGAATTGATAAGGTTACTATTTGTAGAATGATGCAATGAATTAATAAAGGACATTTATATATATATATATATTGATTGATAGTTTGATTTAGAAAGCAGTAATTTGCTTGTGCAAGTCTTTCCTGACACTATAGTGCTTTCTATCTTCTGTAGTAAATCTTCATAGTTATTCTGAACTTGCTTATGATAAGTCATATCAAATCAGGTGTAATCCTGTTTTATAAAGCAGGTAATAATTTGCTTGTACAAGTCCTTCTGATGATCTTCTCTAGTAAATCTTTTTTAGTAAATCTTCCTCATTAGTTAGTGGAATTTATAATTCGTTGTATCAATGGTACCGATATATAAATGTAGAGACAGAGTAGTAACTAGTGAGTAATTGACATTGGTATTTTTTTTCCATATCACAATATTAAAAACAATACAAAGAAAATGCATGTACATAGTAAAATCAATAGTATAGTGAATGGCTGGATAACCCATTCAGCTTTGTTAGTATAACAAAACTGTTCTTCCCTGGGGTCCAGGAATTAAGATATCAACAGTTATTATACAACATACAATACAACATAAAATAATATAATTTGAATTCATATAAAACGTAAAACATATTAGAGAAGCATAAACACCCCCTCCCATCTCAAGCGTGTTCTAATACAGATCAGAGCAAAAGTGATTTCTTAAATTTAGATTTTTGCAAAAATATTTGATTTAAGCCATCGAGCTTCAGCTGAACTTCAGTTACAATACGTGACTGTACTTGTAGTACTACAGCCAGAGGGCGGCCATGAAAATGATGGGGATCTCTATCATCTCTTGGATTGTTTCAGTTTCTTGTAAATCGACTTCATGCCAGGATGATGTTGATCTTGGGTAAGCATTTTGTGTAGGTTTAAATCATAATGAAGGCTTATACCAAGATGACTTTCTTATTTAGATATGTAATCATATATTTAAGTAAAAGTAACATTGCGTTATTATAATTTTGACCTGGAAGCAATCACATTGGTTATGTTTTTAATCATGTGTCTTTACACTGGTAAAATTCATTGATTATTTGATCGTGGAACAGCATATTTTCCATAAGATTCTAAATTGGATATCACTCTTTCACTTTATATACATGTATTATGTGATAGGAATTCGACCATAGTAGGTAATAATTCTGATTGAGTCATTCCAAATTCCTAACTTGTCTTTGATGCGTTTTAAGACGGAGGCATGGTATCAGAGGATAATGACGATGGCTAGTAAGAATGCAAATAAGGGGATTTGCCTGTCATTATGTGATAATGATGATCTTGACGTTCTGACCCAATTATTCCATTGTAGTCTGGATAGAGGTACAAACTTCCGATGTTTAAAGGGAAATGTGTCAGCGTTACTAGCTGATTGAAATGATATTTTATGTTTTGACAATAATTTTTGTTGTTGGAACAAATCTGTTTATTTACATTCATCAATATTATAAATGACTGGAGTATGATGCTAGGTCAGAAATATTTTGTCAACAAGTCGATGAAAATACATATACATGCTTTCCTCTATCTAAAGAGATAATTGGTAATTCCAAAGTCTGACGTAATTCAAGGAAATCAAAATACATTATACATGTATTTGTGTTCTTTCTACAGGTGTATTAACACAAAAATTGGGATGAGACTCGAGCTGGAAACTTATGGGGAAAAAAATTAAACAGCACTTATACAATAATCAAAATTCCACTTAAAGTGTTTTTAATATGTAAAGAACATTTTACTTGTACACAGACATGCTGTATTTTCATGCTTAATAAAGAAACAGCCAACTTGAACGTTTTTTAATCTTTTTTTTGGAGAGAGAGAGCGAGATAGAGAGAAAGAGAGAGAGAGAGAGAGGTAGGGGGACAATTGGATCAGACATTGAGAGTAAGAGATATTCAGATGCAATGTTGGTATCAGAGAAATACGCAATGTTAGTCATACTGGTAAGAAAGGAATCACAATGAGGAATTATAGAAAGCGGAAACTGGATCAAAGTATTAGAATCGGAAGAGATGAATAGAAGTATTGTATAATGACAAGTTTTTCACATAAAGACACGCATGTCTAGTAAAAGAGAAAATAGAAGTTGATAGACACACCAAGTTAAACTGACCGCAGATGTAGTTCCTTTCAATATATTCCATTATGCCAATTTAACCCACCAATCTTGCATCAGTGGTTGTCATGTACTCATCCAATTTCCTTTTAATTTAAATGTTCTGATTATTGAAATCTCTTTCACATCTCACTTTTTTCCTTATGCTCTTTCATTGCCACTTTCAATATTCCCTTCTCACTTTGATATCTTTTGCGACTCCTCCCCTGTCCTTCTTTCTTACTTATTTCAACCCTTTCTCATTCTCTTCATTTTTTAATAATTTCTCACCTTCCTTGTCTCAACTTTACCAATATTATTGTTCACTCTTCATATTGTTTTCTGATTTTGATCACTCTTCTTTGATTTATTTTTGTTCAGTTCTGAATACATAATAAAATCAGTATACCTTTAAATATACATGTACATGAGGAAATATAAACGGAATTGGTCAGGCCTCCATAACCAAAGCTTGATGCCTAATGAACCCTGACATTACAAACACAAGACATTTTCTTTCACTCACTCTTTGTGCTACTTTCTAATCTCGTCCTTTTCCCCCACTTTCAAGACTCTCAGTACATTCACAAGCTTAAAATGACATAAATGAACATGAATTCACAACTGGAAGATTTCACTTTCGATTATTTATTTTTGATCATTTTGTCTTTACAAATCTAAATATTCAATTTTCATATAACTAGGTAATCCGCAGAGTACCTCATGTTCGGCGGAATCTGAGAGGCCAATTTATCAGCGAACAATTTTGTTCATTCTTGAGATGTCGTTTCTTTGTCATTCAGATGAGATCGATTTGCTGTAAATACATAATTGATCAGCAATGACAAATTCAAATCTAGTTATCTTTGTGTTTCAAAGTGATTTCTAGAAATTATGTGAAGTGTCTGCTTCCTAGTCTACGGAGTGTATAGCAGCCGCTCTAAATCTGAATTTTAAGATTTCAGCACTCTTCTAGAGATGTTCGGTTGATTGATGATGAAGTATCCAGATGGAATCACTCCAAACCTGCAGCAATGATAGATTAGAAAAATACAGAAAACAAGTGAGAAACAAACATCTCTTCTTGAAGCTGGCCATTCCAATATTCTAATGACAGCTTGCAAGCATAATATATACCTACTGCATTAACTACAACCATCCTTAACGATTGTTATTTTTCTTTTAAACAGCTTGATTTAATAGATCTCAAAATATCTTGGTCTAATGCATCTCCACCGTGATAAAGTACATCAGAATTTCAAAAGGCACATTAAAACGGAAGGGCAGGAAGGCACTGTTATTATTACTTATGGAAAAGTATCCATGACACATTGTTTTTCTCCAAACCTTATAACATTCCAAAGATCAGGTTAATACGTCACCCCCTCAACTTCTTGTTCCAGACAGAAATTAATGGAGTTGTTACAAGTATCAGATTGAAGAATCTCATCCATGCACTGGCGTGCTTTCAGATAGAGAGTCAAGAGAATAAACTAGAATCATCATGTTCTCATAACAGCTCCATAACAATTACTCAATACACTTATTGCATGTTGTAGACTCTGGAAATCATATTTTGTTGTACTACCTACTGGATACATCTCAAAGAATGATAGTTATGATTAATCATATACCATGTGTCTAGAATACATTACACCACAAAATTGTTTACCGTAAAAGTATTACTAAAATGTTGCTTCAATAATGAATTGGAATAAGGAGAACATGTACACACCTTGTCTGATTAGAGTTCCTCAAGACCTATGAGCTCCCAAAGCTCAATCTTGATGGTTACCTGCAATAAAATAAAAAAAACACAGAAAAAATGAACGCTGAAATGAATCCATCGCAACTCTTTATGATACAGGGCCCTCATGATTTGAAGTACCAATGACCATTTTTGCCTCTTCATTTCCTTTTGCATGTATTTATTCCTTATTTCATCTATTTCTATAAACGTGATGTACTTATTTCTCGTAATTATGTATTTTCTTGAATATTACTGTAACGCCAGTGGAAACCAA